TATCCTGATTGTGTTTCCACAGTACTTGAATTGTGTCTTTCTGGCTGCTTGCAATATTTTCTCCTTGACCTGGGAATTCTAGAATTTGGCTACAATATTCCTGGGAGTTTTCCTTTGGGGATCTCTTTCAGGAGATGATTGGTGGATTCTTTCAATTTCTATTTTGCTGCCTGGTTCTAAAATATCAGGGCAGTTTTCCTTGATAATTTCTTGAAAGATGATGTCTAGGCTCTTTTCTTGATCATGGCTTTCAGATAGTCCAATAATTTTTAAATTCTCTCTCTTGGATTTTCCAGGTCACTTGTTTTTCCAGTGAGATATTTCACATTGTTTTCTATTTTTTCATTCTTTTGAATTTGTTTTACAGTGTCTTGATTTCTCATAAAGTCTCTTGCTTCCAATTTCTCCATTCTAATTTTTAAGGAAGTATTTTCTTCAGTAATCTTTTGGACTTCCTTTTCCATTTGGCCAGTTTTTCTTTTTAAGGCATTCTTCTCCTCATTGGCTTTTTAGACCTCTTTTGCCATTTGGGTTAGGCTATTTTTTAAGGTATTATTTTCTTCAGCATTTTTTTTTGGTCTCCTTTAGCAAGCTATTGACTTGTTTTTCATGATTTTCTTGCATCACTCTGTTTTTCCTCTACCTGTCTTACTTGCTTCTCAAAATCTTTTTTGAGCTCTTCCATGGCCTGGGACCAATTCATATTTTTCTTGGAGGCTTTGGATGTAGGAACTTTGACTTTGTTTTCAAAGTTGTATGTTTTGATCTTCTTTTTCACCAAAGTAAGATAATATAGTCTGACTCTTTTTGTGCTGCTTGCTCATGATCCCAGCCAATTACTTGAGTTTTAAACTCTTTGTTAAGGTAAGAGTCTGCTTCCAATGTGGAGAGTGTACTGTCCCAAGCTTCAGGGGTTTGTGTAGCTGTTTTCAGAGATACTTGTAGGGACCTGTAAATTTTCAGTTTTTCCAAGGTGCTGTGATCAAGGGCGAGGTGTTTACTCCTTTCCTGGCCTGTGCTCTGGTCTATGAGTGACCACAAGCACTCTTTTCTGTCTTGGAACTGTGAGGAAGATTCTCTCTGCACAGCCACTACAAGGTCCACCACACCAGCCCTCCTCCTCGCCCCAGGACCACCACCCAGAACTGTGACCCAGATCCAAGCAAGGGCAAAGCAAGAGAGACTCCTGCACCAAGCAAAGAGATCCTTGCAATCCCCCTCTTATCAGCTACTCGATTTCCCCTCAGTCTGATGGCCAGAAGCTCTGGAGGCAGAAGACTTTTCCTACTGACCTTCTAAGTTGTCTTTGGTGTTCATGGGTTGAGAAGTCTGGAAGCTGCCACAGCTGCCTGTGATTCAGTCCTCTGAGGCCTGCTCCAGGTTTGCTGCAGCCTGCGGGCCCACCCAAACTGTGCTCCTGATCAATCATTCAGGTTGTCTTGGGCTGGAAATTTGTTTCACTCTGTCTTTTTGTGGGTTCTGATGCTTTAGAATTTGTTTAGAGCCATTTTTTATTAGGTATTTGGAGGGGTTTGGGGGAGAGCTCAAGCAAATCACTGCTTTTACTCTGCCATCTTGGTTCCACCTCCTTCTATATATTGTTTATCACAAAAACCTATGATATTATTTTTTATCTTTGGGGTTTTTTACATTGTTGCTTCTAATTTCTAAAGTTACATTCATTGATCTTTTCCTTCTTTTTGTTGATCATTTTAACAATACATTTTCTCTAAGAACCACTTTGGCTGCATCTCAAGTGTTGATATGTCTTCTCATTGTTAAGAAATTTGGTAAATCTTATAAAAGCCAACTTACTTTTTTTTTTCTTTAGGCAATTGGGGTTAAGTGACTTGCCCAGGGTCACACAGCTAGTAAGTGTCTAAAGCCAGATTTGAACTCAGGTCCTCCTGAGTCCAGAGCTGGTGCTCTATCCACTGCACCACCTAGCTGCCCCTTACTTTTCTTATGTTATCTATAGAATGGAAGCTCCTTGTGGCCAAGAACTGTGACATTTAAAAATATCTTTTGTATTCTCAAAAAATGAATGAATAAAAAGCATTTTAAAGGTCAGTGTAGTTAACCAAACACTGTTTTGAGTACTGGATAAACAAAGGGAAAAAGAGAAACATTCTCATTCTCAAAGACCTCCAATCATAAAAGGAACACAGCACATAAAAGAAAAATCACCTGGGCTACAGCTAGCTTTTCCCAGATCTTATCCCACCCTCCCCCAGCTTCCTGCATTTACCCAGACCATTCCCACACCAGGAATGCACTCCTTTCATATCTGTGCTTTGAAGTCTTTTTCCTTCTTGACTGAGTCTTGTTGTCACCACCTTTGTGAAGCTTTTCCTGAACCCACCTGCTTCCACAGCTGAAAGTGATCTCTTTGCTCCTCACTTTTTCTTAGAGCACCATTCAGATCTCTCTTTTCATCATCATCATCACAAGCTGCTTTGTTTGGTACTTTTTTGTGTCTATGTTGTTAACTCCCATTAGATAATGAACTCCAAGAAGCTAGAGTCTATGATAGTCTTCATTAATTAATAAGTTAATGAGCATTCAAAGCTCCACCCTGCCAGCATTGTGCTTCAAAGTTCTTCAGATAATGAGACTGCATTTGAATCTTATCTTGGTCAAACTCCCACCCAGGCCTGAACTGATTTTATCTAACTCAGGTTTGGGTGGAGACAGACTTCCAAGACAGGGGGTAGTATTTCCTTTAATGGAGGCCCCTCTGGGCTGTAATCTAAAGCACTTACTTAAGACCTCATTTCAATATCACCCACCTCCTAGTATTTCCTTCAATCAAGGTTGATTGGCACCCTCTAGGGAACCCCTACTCTTCGGAAGGAGCTTATAACAAACACTGTACTCCAAAATCCTGAGCCAAGCCAGTTCTGAACTGGCTCCCATAGGGGTACCAAGTTTTGGACTGAACTCCCATGCAATGCATGGCAAGCCACTTTGAGAAATTAAACACACGCACCCCAATTTTGTTTGTAAGCTTGTGTATTTTGTTTTATGCTTTTTTTTAAAAAAGCAATCTATAGACATCATCATTGTTATGAGAATTTTAACTTTCCTCTTGTTCATTTTCATTAGGTCTGGGCCATTTTTCCTAGTTAGGTTATTGAGCAGGCTGAAACCTGGAAATTTACTCAAGCCCTCAAACATTCCTTAAATAAGAAGCCAAAAAGGGAACCAAGGCTTCCTGAAGTAATTTGACTTGCCTTACTTGAGGAAGGATTCCAATTGGCTCTGAATCTGTAAAACATGTAAATCTTCCCTCTCAACTAGCCCACTGTGAACGCTTTAAAAATAGTTCAATTTGTAACCAGACTTATTTACCTATAGTCTAACTATGTCTGTGTCCTTAGGGATATATGAGATTATGATACTGTTTAATTTTTATGGCTTAAGAGGATGTATGAGATTGCTGTATGTCAAAAATTATTTTTCTGACATAATTTTTGTTTACAAAATCCTAATTTTCTGAGGTTATTTTTCTTCCTCCTGAATTTGTGCTTACTCATGATAAATCTTAGGTTTTTACCTTTGTAATTTCTGCATTGTGAACCTACCATATGAACTCAGTGGGAGATAATTTCTCCTATAATATCACAGTGCCATAGAGGTCTACATCACAAAAAAAGGATGAAGAATCTAATAGAGGAGAATCAGACAGCAGCTTTTACATCAGTTAAAATTTATCATCAGCATCGTCATACATCATTTGCATAGATTGGTTTCTAACATCCATGTAATATGACACCAGTTGTAACACCATGCACGTTATTCATCCTTTGTTCTCAAAGAGGACTGATGACATCATGAGGGTGATGTCTTAATTGTGAATTGGATTTCAGTGAGGCAGAGCTGTATAGGCACCATACATATATAAAATACAGTGGAAGGGCTAGTCACTAGGAGGAGGCGGCTGCCAGAGCCTCCTTAGTGCTGTAGCCCTTCATATCAAACACTCCATTGTCTAGTTGATAAAGGTGAATAAATGAAAAATACTATTCCCAAAATAACAAAGGCAGGGGGGAGAAAGATTCCCGTATGCAAAGGATTCCAAACACCATCATTAGGCAAGGGAGAAGACAGCCAAGCTGTAAAAACACCAGAAGAATGCAAAGCTACTGAAGGAGAGTCTTTTCCCCTCCAGAGTTTCCAAATGCAAAGAAACACTTGGCATGAAATGTCAGTGAGCTTCGACTTTATAAAACTTGCATTCTCATTGGTCTTGCTCTGCTGCCTTTACTCCCCACCCCCTCACTTCTGCCCAAAACCCACGGAGTCACTGAAAGCCAGGAAATATCAAATAGTTTTAGAGAGAACTGCTGTTACCTGGTCAGCATTATTTTACTCTTTTGAATTTTACTAGTTAGTCTGGGATTTGGCTAAAGTACCATCTGACCTTCTTTTCTTGGTATGTTTGCTGTAGAAATACAACACTTATTTTAGAATTGTGTGGATGATTGTCTTTGAAAATGTCTAATAAGCTGGACTAGTCAAAATACATCACAAGAGCTACTATTAACTATTGTGAGGTAAGTGCTAGAGATTTTCATCAAGTCCCAAACCCCCTGTCTGCATCAAAGTGAACCAAAATCAGTGTTAGGAGTCTAGATTTCTGGCTGCATATACCAATGGGGTACAAGACTTTTAATCACAAGGTGGCTACTGTTAGTGTTTGCATATTCCTTATGGACAATCTTGTGTTCTGAGGAAAGGCTATAATGTAGATGGTTTGTGACAGAGGTAAGTGGCTAGTACAGACTAACTAACACAAAGGGCTACTTTGTGCCCTGGTTTTAATATCTATCTTAAGGCTATACGCTCACTGGAGGTTTGGATATTAATTGTTTATTTCTCTATTTTTACTCTGACTCTACTATTGGATGAGTTTTGTGAACTCTCTCTGGCCCCACAGTTCTTTTACTTTTCCATGTTGTACTGATTTTAAGAGGAATTATTCAATAGGACATAACCAAGACAGTGTACTCATTATCTTTTATTTCATGATTATTAAAGATAAAGCTGAACCCAAAGCTATCATTTTAGTTGGTGCCCACTGAAATTATACGACTTCATTTGTTTATAATTCTGAGTTATATATTTGATTCACCTTTCTATACTGTATATTATGACCATGATTTTAGGAACCTGATAGGAATTTGACCCAGCAGTGGATCACCTCTAGAACAAGAAGTTCTAGGACACAAAACCACTTTCCTGAGAATCGTGACTAGTATCAGTGCTTGTTAATGTTAGAACAAAAACAAAATTTTAAGTTGAAGTATTCTCAATTTCCAAAAAAACCCTATAGTTACTAAAATAAGGTTTTTAGAATGTTAGGCCATTTACAAGATTAATCTTCTCCCAGCACTCAGTTCATCTGTGAGGTGAGTGGGATGGCCTCTCAGGTCCCTAAATCTGTGATCCTATGCAAAGACAGCCTGGATGTCTAGCAGATGGAAAGAAAATATGAAGAACAGGAGAAAGCACTTTAAAGAACATCCTTCATCCTGTCATTTAAATATCTGGGGTCTTTTCCAGCTTCCAAACTACAAATCTGATTTTAAACTCATTCCATCCCAAGTCAAAATCTGGTAAAAGCCTTTAGAAGCTAGAAGATTACACCAGAATTTTTTTTATCTCATAATGTTTGGAGTCACAAGATGGAGACTGAAGAAAATAGTGGACTAGAGTAATGTACTCTGAAGTTCTTCCATAGGATTTGGGGTGAACTGAATGCCCTTTTAATATTGATCTGGCTATGAAGTTATAAGATACTAGATCATTTGGAAATGTGAAAGATAATAGGAGAAGTAACATTTCCAGAAGGAAAAAATTTTTTCTGGTTTATAATTTTAGAAATGAAAATAAAATGTTCTGGCAGGATAGGAGGTGTTGAAAGAGAAGCAAAATTGGTGTGTGTTTCGGCACATCATATAAGATTCCATTTTCCAAGTACCCTGCAGTAGAACAAAGAAATAAGATTATTTTTGAAAAGGAAACTTTTCTCCCTTATTTTTTACCCCTCCTCTCCAGAATATTAATGCATGAGATTCAGACATGATCTATTATAGATATGCTATCAAAACACTAGCTGCATGATAACTGAAAAAGAAATATTGGTTCCTTAGGCCCCTTTCCTCATTTGCAAAGTGAGCCAGCTAGCTGACCTCTGCATTCCCCTTCCAGCTAGAACACTATATAGCCTTGGAAAGTGTAAAAAGCTGAATGAGGAGAACACAGTTCTCTCTCTCCCTCCCTCCATACACATACACACATTCATACACACACACACACACACACACACACACGTATATATATGTACACATATATATAAAAATCCATTTCTGCACAGACTTATCTGTGTGAATCTGTCTATACAGATATATACATGTCCATATATAGATGAAAGAATACATATGTCCTATGATAGATATGTAATATATATAGTCCACATTTAGACAATGTTGTTGTTCAGTTGTGTCCAACTCTTCATGACCCTGGGGCTGGATTTGAACTCAGGCCTTCCTGACTCTAGGCCCAGTGCTTCATCTACTGTGCTGCCTAACTGCTCTCTGTACAGACAGTACATATTGTCTACATGTGTTTATAAGAAAACAGCAAGAAAGACACAGAGAGACACAAACTCTTAATCAGATTGGCTGCCTGATTGCCATTCCTAACACAGGAAGACAGAGCAGTAGAAAGTGAAAAGAAAAACCAAAAGTAACATAGGTTTGAATTGTCAGAACACTAAATACAGAGACATAGCTCTGTTCAGATGCCTCCTCTATAAATTCAAATTCTCTCTCTGTAGGGGTTCCTAATCTGGGGTCCACAAACTTAAAACATTTTGATAACTGTATTCTAATATAATCAGTTTCTGATTTTGATTTTTGTTTTTCATTTAGAAATATTAGAGAAGGGGTCCATAGGCTTTAATCAGACTGTCAAAGAGTCCGTGACACAACAAAGGTTAAAAGAAGCCCCCTTTCCCTTGCTTTAGAGGGGAAGGGTCATAGTACAGCAGGAAGAATAGCAGCTTCAAAGTCAGAGGACCTGGATTCAAACTCCACTTCTAACACTGACCACCTGGTGAGAACTTGGGAACATCATGAACTATCCATCCCTCACCTACTGTTTCTTCAGCTGTAAAATAAGCTAGCTGGATCAGTCTCTGAAATCCTTTCCAATTCTGTCTCAGTGTTGTTGTGAAGAAAGAGCTTAGGAGTCTAGATCTGGAGTTCAAGGGGCTCCTTAGAGGCCCTCTGTTCTAACCCCTGCCCCATTTTACAGAGGAGGAAACTGAGGCACAGCAAAGTTAAGTATGACAAGGCCTGAAATAAATCATAAGTCATAAGTGTCTAAATAAAGAATAAAACCCTGTTTGCCTCAGTTTCCTTATCTGCAAAATCAGGAATAAAGTATCTTTAGTTGAGATGACAGGGTAGCAAACCTGCCACCATGGGGGATGTCCCACCAGCAGACTCACAGGAAAAGGTTCTTATACTTTTAGGAGAAAAGGAGGAGGGAGGGACGTTAGGTAGCAAATCCTGGTGATTTGTTGCCAGCCACCCTTGGCAGTCCAAGCAAGGAAAACCAGGTCATTCTGGCTGCTTTGCCCTTCATGCCCTGAATCCTAAAGAAAGGGGGCACTTTGGAAACTGGTCTAGTTTAAGCTGGCTTTGTTTACTGGGTAAGATTCCAGGGTGGGACTGAGGGTGTGGTTCAGCTCAACCTAATGGACTCTATCTTAAGGGAGGCAATGCAAGGACATTAATGGAATTCTGATATTGCCAAGATCATTCAGAGGTGGTGACAGTTAATGTTACGTTTGGTACTAACAATTTTCTGTCATTATGTAAACAATTCTATTAATAATTTTCTGCCAACTCACTTGTCCAAGGTTGTATGACTTCATGTAGGAGCAGATGTAGGATTTGTACCCAGGACCCCTTACTCAAATCCAGGGCTCTTTCTACTCTTAATCAGTGCTAAGTAAATGAATTACTGTATTATTGATGTTTTGACTTAGTAATATTTTATGGTATTTTGCAATCCCTTTTAGGAATTCTTGGTATTGCCTTTGTTTTGTTTCTCTCCTCTAGTCATCAGTGACTTAATTGGTATCACTTCCTTTTTATTATTATTGGAGGCCATCAGCCTTAAAGGACTTGGCCAGGGTCACACAACTCAGTGTATGAGGTCAAATTTGTACTTCAGTCCTCCTGACTCCAGGGCCAGTGCCCTATCCACTGCACCACCTAGCTGCCCCTCACTTTTTTTTTTTAATGAAAAAGTGATTCAAAAGAATTGGAAATTGAGAGGATGCCCATCAATTGGGGAATGGCTGAGCAAGTTGTGGTATATGAATGTAATGGAATACTATTGTTCTATAAGAAATGATGAACAGGCTGACTTCAGAAAAACCTGGCAAGACTTATATGGTCTGATGCTGAGTGAAGTGAGCAGAACCCAGAGGACCTTGTATACAATAGCAGCCACGTTGTGCAATGACTAAGAATGTTAAATTGAACCCTTCTCAGCATTACGAGGATCTAAGACATCTCCAGAGGCCTCGGGATGGAAAATGCTGTCCATATCCAAAGAAAGAACTATGGAAGTCGAATCGCTCTCACTTATTTTTACCTTAAGTTGAATTTTGTTTCATCTTTCTGATGGTTCCTCCTATTGGTTTTAATTTTTACTTACAACTTCACTAATGTGAAAATACGTTTAATGGGTATGTAAATGTAAAGCCTATGTCAGATTGTGCACCGTCTTGGGGAGGGTGGGGGGAGAGAAAAAGGGAGAAAAAATTTTCAACTCAAAAGCATATAGAAAAAAAAATTTAAAAAATTAAAAAATTAAAAAATTAAAAATAAAAAAAGTGATTCAGCTCTATCCCCAGATTATACTTTCCATAGGTCTAAGCACCACGATCACATATTCACCAGCATCTAGCTTCACATCAGAACCCTAAAGCCAGCCCTTGAGTAAACAAACTAGGGAGTCAGAACATTTAAGGTTTTGGGTTTTTTTTTTGTTTTAATTGTGAGAAATTCTTTTTTTCTTAAATAATAAAATTTGATTTATTTACTTTTAGTTTTCAACACTCACTTCCATTAGATTGAGTTCCAAATTTTCTCCCCATTTCTCCTCTCCAGAGATATTCTTAATAGCCTTATTTGCATAAGAACAACAGAACAGCTAGGGGCAAAGTTGTGGGCAGGTTAAGAGATCAAAACTTCCTTTCTTTGTTCAAACAGGCTTCAGTTTTGATCTCTAAGCTGGAAGATTTTTTAGCTAGACACCAGCTACAATCAAAATGCCTTTTGTTCCTTCCCCCAGCTGTCTTTCCAGTTCTGGAATCATAATCAATACTGGTATTGCTGTTTTCAGGTTGTGCTACTAGAGTCTACTGTGGCTACACTCACTGTTCCCTTAACTTCCCAACAGACACCACTCGCCTATATGTCTACTTTCCTCCAATTGGAATATATACTCCTGGAGGGCGAGAACTGTCTGGCTATTAGTTCTTGGCACACAAGTAAGTTCATATATTTAACCAGTTTGTATAACTGAATCCTTGTGGATAGGTGTCTTTTTATAGTTCACCTTTGGTCTTTAAAAACACTGGTCTTGTAGTCAACTAAATGGGGGACAGGGCAGCTAGATGGCACAGTGGATGGAGTGCCAAGCCTGAAATCAAGAAGACTCATTTTCCCGAGTTCAAATTTGGGCACAGACACTTGTTAGCTGTGTGAGCCTGGGTAAGTCATTTTAACCTTGTTTGCCTCAGTTTGCTCATCTGCAAAATAAGCTGGAGAAAGAAATGGAAAACCCCAAATGGGGCCATGAAGAACTGGACATAACTGAACACCACCACCAAATGGGGGACAAAATATAACCCCGTTTACCAGGTAAATAAGGGTAAGACAAAATGACAGCCTCAGTAGTGACTCACTCTCTGTAAAATGGAAAAGTTCCTGATGCCTAATGTCTCTGGATATATTTCATACCCAGATGTCTAAACTACTCTGAGACACTTAGCCTTTCCCCCCTTAACTAGAAAGATTATAATCGGCACAATAAACAAGCAAAGAATTCCTATTCTCTTAACTTTCCAAGAGCCTTATCATTTCTCTGATGACTGCCACTTACTGGAAGTTACTGTAACACTCCAATTTGTTGAAGCTTTTGTAGCAACTGGCCATTCTGTTCCAGGGTTGTGAGATCCGAGTTTCCACCAATACACTCTTTACCAATAAATATCCGAGGCACCTGAGGAAAAAAAAAGCACAAACAGATGATGTGAAGGGCTTAAATGAGTAGATTTTTAGGTCCAGTTTTAATATTTCTCCATGGCCAAAAAACTCTTTGTATTACAGTAAACATCAGCGCCTGCATGCACGCGCGTGCGCGCACACACAGACACACACACACACACACACACACACACACACACACACACACACACACTCGAGTTAGGTGGGGAAGTGGACAGAGTGCTAGGCCTGGAGTTAGGTAGACTTATCTCCCAGAGTTCAAATCTAGCCTCGCATTCGTACTAGCTATGTGACCCTGGGCAAATCATTTAACCCTGTTTACATCAGTTTTCCTCAGAGCTGAAGAAAGAAATGGCAAACCATTCCAGTATCTTTGTCAAGAAAACCCCAAAAGGGTTCCAAAGAATCAGACAAGACTGAAAAACAACTGAACAGCAGCAGCATAGATGTAGATGTAGATGTATATATAGCTGTGGTCTGTAGCAACAGCAACTGCATGTTGCAAACTTGAGAACTTGACTTAAAGCTCGTTTCAAAGTGATTGTTCCACGCAAAGGGGCAAAGGTGTTAGGTGTGGCCCAGGGCTAATGAAATTTTACTGAAAGTAAAGAAGTATCAAAGAAGGTTTTTGTTTACCATGTTTCAAGTTGCAGGTTATTGTTACTTAGCAACTAATGCAAAACCATAGCAACAGAGTTTCCCTTTAAAGAGAAGTAATTTCACTCAGTAATCTCTCATTCTTTAATGTGTGAGCAAAACAGGATTAATTTAGCATCTTTTTTCTAATTTTGGGAGGGGGCTGGACTTATAGAGGGAAGATTCAAGGCTCTAGCTAAATAGCCAAGAGAGAGTAAGTCCCTCTTTCAGGCCTTCTACACCCCACCCCGCCCCAAGTAAACAGGGACCCTCCCAGAAAACTCCCTACTTTATGTTTACAGCTTTTTGAGAACAATTTCCTTAGGAGCAAAACAAGGTTAATAATAAACAGTAACACATAGTACTTATCTCAAAGGGCTATGCCTGTGATTCTTCCAGCCTAGGAAACTTCTGGTATGAAAACTTTTTCCAAGCTAGATGCAAACAATTATGTCTTAGCAGGAAAATCCTAAAGGGTTGCCTAAACCAACTGAGAGATTTACAAGATTTTCCTATGTGCTCTTGTGTCTCTGTGGAAGTGACAGAGATCTTCCTCATTCCAAGACTAACACTCTACCTCCTATCCAGTTAAGTCTGTCTGGATAGATACACGTATACACCTAGAAAACTGTTCACGATCAGTGGAAAACATCTTCCACCTAAGAAGTGCCCTTTAGTCTCTCTCTTTAGCCAATGAAAGTTATAGTAAAAGTTAGTGTAACATTTAAAATCAAGGTAGACTAAGGCACAAAATTGCAAGCATGATCAATTTATTAGTAAAGCACAAATTTACCAATAAATAGGATCTCAGCTTCCCCATCTAAGCTAAGACCCCTGAGTGAGGGGGATAGCTCTTTTTATAATCTTGGGAGTACAGAACAAAGCATGGGACTTTATAGCTGAGAAACAAGTTATGATTGGTTAAAAGAGCTCAACATCATAAATGGCAAAATCAATGATTGGTTACAGATAAGCTGAGGCATGGGAGATAATATGATTAGTCAGAAATTGGGAATGAGGGGCTAGCAAGCAACAATCCCATCCTTCTCTCCCATGAGTCAGAATTCTTCATTTTTTGAGTCCATCTGCAAGACTAGGATAGTGGATCAGAATTCTTTGGATAACAAACCAGACATCCTTGAGGGATAGCTTGGTGGTGTAAAGATGCTAGAACAGACTCCCTAGTGTCGTCTTCATCCCTGAAGGACAACAGATTTCCCTGAAGCAAGAATAGCACAGTGATCAGCAGGAAAACTAGATTTCTAAACTTAACTCATTACAGGACAGGTGAATTTCTGAACTAAGTTCAGAGACAAAGCTGTGACTTAATGGTTACAGGACAAGATCAATTAACTGTAAATAGGATCAACGAAGAAAAAAAAAGATACATTACGGATAAAGGTCGTTTTTCCTACCTTAGCTATATATCTGTGACGCCTCAACTCAAAACACTAAATGTGTAACAAATGGGAACATCCCAGATTTTATGACATTGACTCTGAGCTAAGACACAGTCATAAGCTTCATTTTAAATATAGAGAGCACCTTAAATAATAAAAGAACATGGGAGCTTCCTAACCGGAGGTGGCAGTAACCTTCCAGTTGGGAGGGTACAAACACAAAGCAGATTGATAAGAAAGAAACAAACTAGCCTGTGTAATGTGGTAACCTCAGAGAAGAAATGATTCCTTCACTGGAGGAATCCACAGTCTCACAGTTCAAAGAGCCCAAAATTCTTTTTCTTTCTTTTTTTTTAGAAAGATCTTTTTAGGGGCAGCTAGGTGGCCCAGTGGATAGAGCACCAGCCCTGAAGTCAGGAGGACCTGAGTTCAAATCCGCACTCAGACCAAACACTTGACAATTAACTAGCTGTGTGACCCTGGGCAAGTCACTTAACCCCAATTGCCAAAAAAAAAAAAGAGACCTATTTTTTTTAGAAAAATCTTTTTAAAATACTGTAATAATTTCTCAATATTTATTATCTCCCCACAGAGTCTTTCCTTGTAACAAAAGAAAGAAGTACATAAAACCAAAACAAGAAAGGTATGGTGTTGACATCCTATGCACTACTGTTTATCTCCCAACTAGTAGCTTCTCTTCACCCCACCCCACCCCCCACTGAGAAGAGGAAAAACTTGTTCTTTTGAATTAGCATTGGTCACTACAATTGTCAGGAGTTCATCAGCTGCCCTTTAGTGTTGTTTTCATTTACATTGTTATAATCATCACCGCTTTTTCCCAAGAAATCACCTTAACACTTGTGTCAATTGACATCAGGACATACCATTTTAATTAATTATACTATAATTTCTCCTCTCGGTGTAAATGTACTTTAATACAAATCATTACAAGTAGATATAATAATTTTACTTTGAAATAAAAATTTTTATCTGACTATCTCTTATATGTGCAGATGCATTGTGTCAATTGATGCAACTTGGTCTTTTTAAAGTATTCTAAGATTCTGGTCCTTCTACTGAGGAGAGAGAAAAAGAAAGAAAAACAAAGAGGAGGTAGATAAACTTCTTCTGGAGGCTTAGTAACTCAGGAAAGAGCAGGATTAAACAAGTGTTTGAGAGTGAACTCACAGGGTCTGGGGCTTGGTATTATTATTATTATTATTATTATTATTATTATTATTATTAGCAAGTTGGGCCTTAAAGGTCTTTTCTCATTAAAAGTGTGGTTATGATAAGAGGAGGGGAAAAGAAAGGCAGGAAGAGAAATTGGATAAAAGACAATGTTAATAACAAAAAGCTGGCTTCCTAAAAAAGGACCAAGAGATAAGGAAAGAGCTTTAAGATGTTTTTTTTCCTTTGGATCCCTCCATCTGTTCTAGCTCCTTCTCTCCATTCATACCACAGCTTCTTTAGTTGGGTCCTCACAACCTCCCCCCCTGCACTATTGCTGTAATTGACTTATCATCCTCCCTACTTTTGACCTGTCCTTTCTCCAATCTGTCTTTCACACAGCTGCCAAAGTGATATTCCTAAAAATGTCAGACTGACCATGTCACTCTCCTGCTCGTGAATTGTCTCCAGTATAAAATACAAACTTCTCTGGCATTTGGTCCTCCCCAATCCAGCACCAGAATGCCCTCACATTCCTCCTCCCACCCACCTTTGCCTCTATATTCCAGCCACATTGGATTGTCCTTGGTTCCCCATAGATGACATTCCATCTCCCACCTCTCTGCAGGCTTCAGCTTAATGCCTTCCCTGACCCAGATCAGAGGCCACCTCCTCCAGGAGGCTTTTTCTGATCTCCCAGATTATTAGTCCTCTTTCCCACCAAATAAGTTTGGATTACTCTGCATGTATTTTGTGTATTTTGCTCCCCTTTCCCCCAGTACAATGTAAGCTCCTTCAAGGAGGGGTAGAATGCCCTGTTGCTACTAATTTTTTTTGCCATCTTTGTATCCCCAGTGCCTAAACACAGTGCTGGTCCATAGTAGGTGCTCAATAAATCCTTGTTGATTTGGATTACTGCTGCTTCTTTAATTCTGTGGAATAGTAAGAAAAACAATTGAGAAAATAGGGGAGGGAGGCAAAAAGAGGTAGTGATGGGGCTAGAATTTCATAGCTTACAGGCTGTGTTAAGTGGAGAGATACCAGGAGAGGGACAGGGAGAGACAGAGACCCAGAGTGGCAGAGAAGAGACAGACAGAAATATCTTTAATATAGGTTCCTTTTTAAGTCTGTAAGGTAATATATCCAGAGATTCTCCTTTGTCTATCCCCATAGTGTGGCTCATTCAATTATAGTAAATGTTCATACAGAATGCAATGCAAATCAACTTATCTTTGCGTGGAAACAAAACCCATTAAAAAAAATACAAATAGGGGCAGCTAGGTGGGGCAGTGGATAGAGCTCCGGCTTGGAGTCAGGAGGACAAGTTCAAATCTGGTCTCAGACACTTCACACTTACTAGCTGTGTCACTTAACAGCAATTAAGTGCTGTTGGGCAAAGTCACTTAATCCCAATTGCCTCACCAAAAAACAGAAGGAAAAAAAAAGTACAAATAGCAGATAAAATAAGATGTAAGGGTAACTAATTCCAGCAACCCCAGTAGTGGTGAGGCAAAAGAGGATGCTGACCGAGGGGATACATTTAGCTGTCTCAGTGCTGTAGCAAATTCAGTCCACGAAGGTCAGTCACTCTTAAAGCAAGTCAGTGAGCCAGATGAAGACTTCACCTGCTGTTGATTCTATTCAGCTTTGGGTAGTAGTGCCCTTCCCTTGCAATTAAATGGCTGCTGCCTCTGTCACTTCCCATGGAGTACAATTCTCTTTGACTTCTTTTCAACTTTTGCCTTAGAAGACTGCCCTACCTTCTGTCAACCCTGAACAATCTGTTCCCTTAGCTTCTGTCATCATTCTTTCTTGGTTCTGCCACCACCCACGAGATGTAGTCCAGTCCCTTTTGGATCATCATTTAGCTTCTGTCCTGGACTCTCTTCTCTCTCTTGTTGATAGCATCAGCTCCCATAAGTTCAATTATTACTGACTTACATGACTTCCAAATCTATTTCTAATAAATGCGTGCTGAATTGAATATTTTCCTAAAAAGCTGCTCTCACTCTCCTAACCATCACTCTTTAAAAAAATTCGTTCTTATCAGTTTCAGCGGTGGGTAGAGAGCCCCAAAGTTCATAATGTGATTCTATTGTATTTTTAAATTGTCATTGTATGATCAAATTACATCTGCAAAGGGTGGCAGTTTTTTCATTCTACCAACTTTCACGTCTTCACATAATTATCTGGATTCATAATTTCATTGATTTTGGAAACTCCCAGAAGAGGAAATTCCTTCTATACAAGACAGGTGGGCAGCTTCTCTGTAATTTATAGGGAGTTGCTCAGGGTTATGGAGCCAGTCTTCCCACCCACAGAAGTGGCTTTCAGCCAACCTTCCATCTGACTCTCATTATCAAATAGTAACACTGCTAAAAAGGCTTGGTGTATACTTGCCTTTGACCAGGGGTGGGGAATCCGAGGTCTCGAGGCCACATGTGGCCTGCAGGTGCAGCCCTTTGACTGAATTCAGTCAAAGGGCTGCACTTGAGGACGTGTAGAGGGCCACATGTGGCCTCAAGGCTGCAGGTTTCCCAACCCCTCCCTTTCACCAAAACTATTGAATTCTAGAGAGCATTTGCCACTCATTAGGTATGCAGATCTGGAGTCGGCTCCTAGGCAAGGCAGCCTCTCAAAGAGAGAGCAATTTTCTTTATCTTGTGCAGACTCACATCTGGTCATATCTTTCAGTTGCTTGCAACAGAAGCTTCCTCCAGACATTGAAAAAAACAAAAAGCAAAAAACCAAGCCAAGTAGCTTCTAGGACAGAGTTGGCGCACATTTCTGAAGTGGGCTTGTGGGAACAAAGTCAAAAGCGTCCTGAAACTGTTACTTATTCCATCCCGGAAACAGAAAGGCTACTTTAACCCACAATGTTCACCTTTAACCCATAATCCATTCCAAGCAGGCCAGGTTGACTAGCTGGCTTCTCATCCAGTCTGGCAGAAAGTGCTCTGGAGTCAAGAAACTTGGGTTTGAACCTAAGCCTCTATTTGAATATTACCAGTGACAGGGAGCTCACTGCCTTACGTAGCAGCAAGTACACCTCCTGTTCAAAATGTTAGAATTTCTCCTAATTGTGCTTCCTTTACAAAAAATCAACAAAAAGGTTGACAGTGGCTGTGCTCCCTCTGTGTGGCTGGATTCATACTTATTTTTTCATAAGTTGTGGTTTCATCATCAACCCCCATACACACACACACACACACACACACACACACACACACACACACACAGAGTAAGTGGAAGACTCAAATCCAGGTCATCTTCATACACTAAGTGCCACCATGTTTTGTTTTTATATATCCCTTTTTCAGCATTTCCTGCCTATCCTCACCTAGTTGTCTGTCTTGTGATTATCAGATGCAACCATACAACAGACCTCTTAGTCTCATCTTTTCAGTATTGTATTTTTAACCTGGGAGTTGACTACAAACCAGAACAGAACAAGGAACCTCTTTTAGGCCATGTAGGCCGAGTAAGTGAGAACAGAGGAAATAAGGTGACAAACTGCAGTGAAGAAACTAACAGAAATTTACATCTCTTTCCAAGTTTCCTTCCTCCCTACATTTCCGGATTCTCCCCCTACCCAGTAGCACTATAAGTTGAAGCAATTCTTTACTAGCAAAAATAACTAAAAATAACCTCTGAATTACTCTAACAGAAACCTCTGGAGTCAATGTGTGACTGCTCAAGTTACTTTGAACCTGACTAGGACTGCATGACATGCCTTTTCACCTATCTCCTTTAATTTCTCTAGGATTTGAGAGGTCTGGTAGCCGGATTCCAAGTCCCCATTCAAGTAGTACACTGAATAACTCCTGTCCTTCCTTAGCAGCAGACAGCCCAGAATCAAGATGTCCTTGCAGCTTATCTGACAGAGTTAAATGAGACTTTAACGTAGTTCCCCCTGCCCCCCCTTTTCCTTTTTCTGGTATACAGACAAGGAACAAAAAAGTCCCTGACCATAAAGGGAAAAAGCCCCCAACACACCCAGAAAACCAACGTGCTCCCAACACTCTGCAAATACAGATACTCACGGTTCTTGCCCCTGTTAGCTGTTGCAAATAATCTTGGATCGCATTTGTATCACTGTGGGCTGTTATGTCGACAAATTCCAAGGACTCCGGTTTAATAGGAAGCTGCTTGAGAAGCTCCATAGTTTTTCTGCAGTGAGGGCAGGTGGGTTTGATGAAGACCACCACCTTATCAGCTTTGATCTTGCTATTCACGAACTGCTGGGCCATCTTTACCACATTTGTGACCTCCTAAAGAGTAAATACCTAAGCTGGGGCAATGCTTGGGGCTTTATTTAACTGTCCTGCTGCTCTTAAAAGGAACCACCCTAGGAGGAGGAGTTTGCATTGACCAAGTCTTGCCTTTTTTTTTTTTAAAGAGACAGTGTCCCAAGGTGGGAATCCCATCTCACACACATCCTCGTATGACTCACTATTTACAGTGGAAATGAATGCATAATTGTGATTTTTTGCACAATATTGTCATGTGTCAGCGGTGCCTTTCCTGGGTGCTATGGGTGTCATCATTAAATCACCTTCCAGGAAAAGATAGAAGTGACTGGGCAGGAATGATACATCAAACTGGCAGCAGAGGTCCAAGGTTGTCTTGTTGCTTGTCTGAATATTTAGTGTCTGTTAGTGACACTTAAAAGAGACTTTGAACTGCCTTTGGAACCAGGATGCTGTAGGTTCAGTCACCATCCCTGACACATTCAGTTTATGTTCCTTAACCTCTCAGTGTCCTAAGAGCATCTCTAAGACTAGAGTTTGCCAAGGAGATTCTAATCTGTATTGGCGGAGGGAAGTTTCCTCATCTCATATATCAATGAAATCCAGATGGTCCAGTCCCTGTCCCCTGTTAGTGACACCATTATTACAGCAAAAATAAATCCTCAGGCGGCAGCTAGGTGGCAGTGGATAGAGCACTGGCCCTGAAGTCAGGAGGACCTGAGCTCAAATCTGGCCTCAGACCAAACACTTGACACTTACTAGCTGTGTGACCCTGGGCAAGTCACTTAACCACAAGTGCCAAAAAAAATTAATAAAATAAAATAAATAAATCCTCAGGAACCAACTTGGAGGTGACTCTTTAAAGAAAGAATGTGAAATGATGTGTGGATTCATGCCAAAAAAAAAAAAGACTCAAAACGGTGACTAAAGGGAGAGTACAAGACTGAATTAGGTCTATTTGCATAATACTTAGGACTAGGAATTGTTTCTGTTTGCAATAACCATGCCTCTAGGTTGGTCCCAAGTCTTATACCCCTTGCCTAAACCCCACCCCCACAAGAGATATTTGGCTTACACAGTAGGCTTGATGGATGTTTGATTGAAGTTTTTGGATTTAGTTCCTAACCCTATTGCTTAATCTACTCTTTCCAATAAGGATACAATTTAAATGAATAGATATCTACTCATCTTAAGGAAAAACTCCAGGATAATCAGAACTGTCCCCCATATATAGTGGCAGTCTTTGACTGGTGGTAGTAAATTCCTTATCACTGGAGGCTTAAAGTGGAAATTGGTTGTGGCCTCTGAGGTGGTTTATACTTCTAAGATTCTATAGATTTGTTAAATAAGCAATGCCATCTGATGAGTTAGGCTGATCTTTTTTCTTTTGTCTTTTAAAAATATTATTTATTCTATGGAATAGTTTCAGGAAGGGAGAGGAAAAAGGAATGCTGGGAGAAATGATGGTGATAAAAACTTGTTTTAAAATAAGCAGTACGATCAATAAAATCAAATATTTTGAAGGTAAAGTTTTCTTCTCACTGGGAAATATTGCATTGAAAAGAGACATCTAGAAAGCTGCAGAGCCCAGAGAATCCCTGGCAAGGCAGAGGCTGCCTCTGGCACATTTTAATTGGGAAGGCAAGGAAATGAATTCCAGAAAGTGGCTTTTTGTTCTTCTCGTTTTTAAAAAAAAAACCCAAACAACAACATGCTTTTTATTGTGATTTCTTTTGCCATTAAAATTCTTAAATTGAAACTCAACTTATAAGAGGAGAATACAGTCCTAAGATGATGATGGTAGAGATACTATTGAGAAAAGGGTAGTGTCAGGACTGAGAAAGTAGAATCTGCTTTTTAGAATCAGCTCACAGTTCTTCACAAACTCAAAATTTACTTGGATCAGGCACTACCTAGGGAAAGTGGCAAAGTCGGCAAAGTCAGCAAAGTTTCTATAGCTCTGTCCTCCTTCTCTTTTCTCAGGCTCTTTCATTCCCACCCACATAAGCCCCCTCTTACCACTGGTGGATCTCATTCTTCTCACCCATTAACACTTGCCTTCCAGGTGTTGCACTCCCTCAGGATCATCCTAGGCTAGGGCAAGTAGGTGTTATTAGGTTAATCTGGGTAACTAATATATTCTAATTAGCTGTTATTACCCCTCCCAGGTGACACAATACTTTTATCTAGTAGTTACAAAGCAAAAGGTCTCTAAGGAGTGACTTTAATGGCTGGCATTCAGGCAGGCCTGGTGTAGTTATTTTAGGATAGAGGCATTGCATAAGATCATAGATCTAGAGGCAGAGTTCATAAGTCCCAATCCCTCATTCATAGTTGAGGAAACTGAGGCCCACCATGTACCTTTCCTAGGGCCAGCCAAGGCTCCAGGGATTCTAGAAGTTGCAGACTGGATCCTACTGGGGCCTCAGGTTTCAGTATCATCCAGCCCATCCCTTTAGTCCTTCCCTCCCCCATCATTAGTTCTAGCCCTAGCCCTGTATTTCAGCCCTGGTTCTCCTTCTTGCTCTGCCCTCCAGCACCACACACACACACACACACACACACACACACACACACACACACACACACACACAAAATTGTTAAATAATGACAGAAAATTGTTAATACCAAATTAATATTACTTGCCAAGCCCCTTAAATGATCCTAGTAGTGTCAGAATTTCAGTAATACACTTATATTCCTACTCTTAAGATATTTACTCTTGATTTTAGGTTGAGCTGAACCACACCATAAGTCCCGTTCCTCTCCTTATGAAGGAACCTACTGGATCTCAGCTGGATCTCAGCTTCTAATGTCCTTGCCCCCCTCCATTGGGATTCATGGCATGAAGCGGAAAACAGCTAGAGGGTGACTGAGGTCCCATGACCAGGCCTTGCTACCTCTTCCTCCTTTTCTTCTTAAACTATAAGGATGTTTTCCTGTGAGTCTGCTGCGGGACATTCCCAGGGCACTTGCTACCCTGTTATCTCAATAAAAGACTCTTTATTACTCTACTCAGGAGTCTGATTTGTTTCAGTATAGACACACTATATCTAGCTTAGCAGATCTATTTCTTCCTATGCATTTCAAAGTTTCTTTGCAAACATGCATCATACTTTGTTCTACAAGACAAAATTCTAACTAGATGGGTCATTATTAAGAGGCACATTGGTATCTTGAAACACAAAAAACTGTGTGAAGGTGAGGCTAATAAGCTATGCACATACTTACAAGAAGCCACAATTTCTGATTCCTAGGCCACAGGCACTGCAGTGGAGAGTCAAAAAAGGTGGCTTTGGCACAAACTGTCCATGTGGGCATACCATTTCACTGTCTGCTTTCCATATCTGTAAAATGAAGGTATCAGACCAAATGGTCTCTATGGCCCTTGTCAGCTCTAACATTGTTTAATTCTGTGTGATGTTCAAAGAGCAGGAGTTTCCCTAGTCCAGTTGAGTTTTTTGGTTATTCAGTTGTTTTAGTCATGTCTGACTTTTTGTGACCCCATGTGGGGTTTTCTTGGCAAAGATACTGGAGTGTTTTGCCATTTCCTTCTCTAGCTCATTTTATAGATCAGGAAACTGAGGCAAGCAGAGTTAATTGACTTGCCCAGGGTCACATAACTAGTAAGTATCTGAGGCCAGATTTGAATTCCAGAAGGTGAGTCTTCCTGATTCTAGGTCCAGCACTCTATCCACTGTGTCCCCTAGCTGCCCCATAGTTGAGTTAACTAACATTTAAGTGCCTACTATGTGCCAGGCAATATGCTCAGTAATGGGGATATAGAGAAAGGAGCAGAAAGTCTAATGAGGGAGGCAACATGTAAAAAAAAATGTACAAACTATATACAGAGTAAATTAGGATTAATCTTAGAGGCAAGCACTAAGATTGTGAAGGACTATTTAAGACTTCTTATAGAAGGTGGAACTTTAGCTGATACTTACAGGAAAACCAATAGAGATGAGGAAGGAGAGTTCCAGGCATGCAGGTCAGCCAGTGAAAATGCCCAGAATCAAGAGAATGTCCTTTGGGAAAAATAGAAAAGAGGTCAGAGTCCCAAAGGGGTGGGGTGTGTGTGTGTGTGTGTGTGTGTGTGTGTGTGTGTGTGTGAAAAATAGGGCTAGGGAAAAGAGGAATAAGGTATAAGAAGACTGGAAAGGTAGGAAGGAGCAAGGTAATAAAGAGCTTAAAAGCCAAACAGAGGATTTTAGATTTGATCCTGAGGTAATAGCCATTGGAGTTTATTGAGTAGGAGAGTAGCATGATCAAAACCATACTTTAGATACTGGCAACTAGGTCAAGGAAAGACTAGATTAAAGAGAAATTTGAGGCAGGGAGACCAACCACAAAGCTATTGCAATAGGCCAGGTGTGAAGTGATAAGGGCTTAAACCAGAGTGGTAGCAGTGTCAGAGAAGGATCTAAAAAATATGTCTCAAATCTGAGTCTATCACCTCTCTGATAGGAGGAAGGTGGCATTTTTCATCATGACTCCTCCAGAGTTATGGTTGATTAGAGTTAATTAAAGTTCTTAAAGAGACATTTCCAACATTGTTATTGTTATAGTATAAATTATTTTTCTGGTTCTGTTCATTTCACTCTGCATCAATTCATACAAGTTTTCCCAGGTTTCTCTGAAGCCCTCCCTTGCATCTTTTAAAAAATTTTTTAATTTTTTTCCCTGCATCTTTTTTTTTATAGCACAAGTGTATTCCATACAATCCATACGTCATAATTTGTTCAGCCATTCTGCAATTGGTGGCATGCTCTTTAGTTTCCAGCTCTTTGCAACCATAAAAAAACTGCTATAAATATTTTTGCTTGCAGAAATCTTTTCCCTTTCTTTGATCTCCTTGGATTATAGGCCTAGTAAGAGTATTGCTAAGCCAAAAGGTATGCACAGATTAATAATTTCTGAGGCATAATTCCAAATTGCTTTCCAGAATTTTTGGATCAATTCACAGTTCTACTAACAGTGCATTAATGTGTCCCTTTTCCTACAGCCCCTCCAACATTGGTCATTTTTCTTTTTTGAGTTAGCTTTGCTAATTTGAGGGATGTAAGATGGTGGCGATGTGACTACTGAGCAGGGAA